GGTTTCTGGAGGCTCCTGAGGATGGTGGGAGCAGCTACAGCGGACCAGCAGATCCTGGGGAGGTGATGCCCCAGCAAGACATCACCCAGGACACACACAAGGGAGGGCTGCTCCCACCTCTGTTAACCCACCCTGCAGGGACACACGGGGAGGTGGGAGCCACTGTGAAATTCGGATCTGGCGGGGGTGGGGGCAATTTCAGCTGCTGAAAATCTTGCCAAGCTGGAGGAGAAACAGCTGCCTGGAAGCTGCTGGGTGAGCCCTGCAGACAGGAACGCTGCAGGAGACAGGGAACCTCCTCTGCCAAATGCAAACCAGCAGGTGGGAGAGATCTGGGTGGGCAGGAGGGAAAAAAGGAGTTTGCATCACACTCTGCATCCTCGAAAGCTGGTCACCTGCCTCTGCCCACACCCCCAGCCAGCAGGGACACCTCACACAGCTCCAGCTGCTGGGTGGGATGGGGGGGGACGCCGTGCCCACCCTGAACATTTCTCTGCCACTTCTGCGTAAAGAGATGTGAAAGCTGGATGAAGAAAAGCACTCGTTTTATAGAGTGGAGAGTGGACTGGAGCATCCCCAGGTTGAGGGAATGAGGTGCCCCAAGTCACACCAGCCCTCCCAGCGTTACAGAGAGTCTCACAAATGTTTGTGTGCTCGGTGCCTGTGGGGTCAGCTTTTATTTAAAGAGGAAACAGATACTATTTCCAGCCTTCACTTACCCCACGCTGGGTGCTGCACCAGGGGCCCTTTCAGCAGCTCAGATCCGCGGTGGAAGCGGGTGTGTATCCCTGTCACCAGCAAGTCCATGCTGCAGACACACAACCTCCTGCTTTGCCAGGGCAGGGACCTCGTGCCCGAGCTCAGCTCTGCAGGAGGGGATGTCCATCCTGCCACCGTGGTCACAGAATCACAGAGTCTTCATGGTTGGAAGGGACCGTTGAGATCATCGAGTCCAACCACAAAAAAAACCAACAAGCCCCAACAAAACCTACAAAAAACCAAAAAACACCACCAAAAAAAACCAAAATCAGAACACACACAAAAAAAACCCCAAAAACCCACAAACAGACCCAAACCAACAATCTAGAGCATGCCCTGAAGTGCTACATCTACACGGTTCTTAAATCCCTCCAGGGATGGCGACTCCACCACCTCCCTGGGCAGGCTGTTCCAGGGCCTGACCACCCTCTCAGCAAAGTCATTCTTCCCAATATCTCATCTAAACCTCCCCTGCTCCAACTTCAGACCATTCCCTCTGCTCCTGGCATTGTTCCCTTGGGAGAAGAGGCCAACCCCCACCTCTCTACACCCTCCTTTCAGGGAGTTGTAGAGGGCAATGAGGTCTCCCCTCAGCCTCCTCTTCTCCAAACTAAACCTGCCCAGTTCCCTCAGCTTCTCCTCGTGTGACTTGTTCTCCAGACCCCTCCCCAGCTTGGTGGCTCTCCTCTGGACACGCTCCAGCCCCTCAATGTCTTTCCTGTGGTGAGGGGCCAGAACTGAACCCAGCCCTGGAGGTGAGGCCTCACCAGTGCCCAGGACAGAGGCACCATCCCTTGCCTGGTCTCAGCATGCTGCTCTCTGGTGCCCATCCCATCCCGTTGTTCTGGCAATGACCACAGCAGAGGGGCCAAAACCAGGGCGCGGGGGCTGGGGTGACATAGACCTGTGCTGCTGGAGCATCACTTGCCCTACACTGGGAGAGGAACCAGCTGGGAGGCAGAGGGCATGGCCATGGTTGTCGTGGCTCATTGGAGCATCCTCACCCCTGTGGACTGCTGGGAGGGCCCTGGTTCAACCCTGGATGAGGGAGGCTCCAGCTAATTGCTCACTAATGGGTCACTTCAGAGAGGAAACAAGCAAAACCCCACCTGTGCACGCCTGGAGCAGAGTGACCTGTGGGCCCTGGGACCAGCCAGGCCGCACGTCACCAAGAAATGGTTGAGGGTTCATCTGTCAGGAGGAAAAAGCCCAGCCCGGTGGGCGCCTGTCTCCCTGCAGCCTCCCCAGCCCCTTCGTGTCCCCACGGGACTCCTGGAAGCTCCCAGCCCCTGGCAGTGGCCCGACAAGGCTCTGAGCTGCGCTGCAGCGAGCGGCGAGCCCGGCTCATTTAATCTATTCAATTGGATTCAATTTCCAGCCACATGATTCAATTAGCCCTGGAGGGACAGCGCGGGAGAGCGGAGGCTGCGGAGCGTGGCCCGGCCCTCCATCCCGCAGCCACGGAGCTGGGAGAGGGGGGCAGAGCCTGGACCCACACCGGCTGCCCCCACGGGGGCCAGGACCCCACACTTCTGCTGGATGGGGACAAGACAAGAGGAGTGAGGCAAGCATCCAGCGATGCTTCCCCGAGTAGAGGGTGCTGCTGCCTGTCCCATCTATTTGGGGTCACCCCTGTGCTTGCCTAGTGTCCCCCCGCTCTGACCCACACCGTGCTGCAGTGGGGAGAACCAGGGCTTGACCAACGCCAAGGGCTCTCAGCAGCCCCAGGGAAGGCCGGGTCCCATAGACCTTCAGCAGCCCTTGTCCAGCCTCCCGGCTCTGACTTTCATTCCTCATTTATTTTTCTGTCTGTCCTCCCCTGGAAAATGCCACCAAAACCATCAGTTAATTTCCACCGCAATTTTAGGGGGAAAAGCCCATTTTTATCTTGGCCCCTTTGGATGTCTGCAGCTCCCAAAGCTGGGCTTTCCCCCTTTCCTTTCATGTCACTGCAATGGTTCATTTGCCAAAAAAACACCCCAAAACAACCTACCACCTCCATAGGGACAAACCTCCGTCCAGTACAACCCAGGATGTGGCCCTTGCTCATCCCGACAAGCCCAGAAAACAGAGATGAGAATAAATATCCAGGAGGTGTTGGTGCTGACAGGGAGATGGAGAGCTGCCTGCTGGTGCCACGAGCCAGCCCTGAACCCTCCCGCAGCCGGGAGGCCACACAGCAGCCCCGAGACACACCATGGCAGGGTCACAGCATCACAGAGCACAGGTCTGATGAGGAGAGGCTGAGGGAGCTGGGGGGGTTCAGCCTGGAGAAAAGGAGGCTGAGGGGAGACCTTCTGGCTCTCTCCAACTCCCTGAAAGGAGGGTGTAGCCAGGGGGGGTCGGTCTCTGCTCCCAAGTCACAGGCCATGGGACAAGAGGAAACGGCCTCAGGTTGCACCAGGGGAGGGTCAGATTGGAGATTGGGAAAAAAATTTTCACTGAAAGGGTTCTCAGCCATTGGAATGGGCTGCCCAGGGAGGTGGTTGAGGCCCCATCCCTGGAGGTGTTCAAAAGATGGGTTGATGTAGTGCTGGGAGACATGTTTTAGTGATGGTGTTGCTTTATTTTTGTTGTGTGGGTGTCTATTTTTGTCAAAATTAGGTTGACGGTTGGACAAGATGATCTTTAAGGTCCCTTCTAACCTAGAAGATTGATTCTGTGATCTCCCTCTGCCCGCCCTGCGGCAGGTGGGACGCCGGCTCCATCCCAGGAGGGGAGCATGGGGAGGTGTCGATCCCCTGCACAAGTGCTGCCCAGGAGATAGCTCTCCAGGTGAGAGCAGGCTTCTCCTCCTGACAACCACCATGCAACAGCCTGGCAGGACCCCAGGGCAGGGGAAGAGCGTGCAATTCTTCAGGCAGGGAGAGAAAAGTGCCCCAAAAGGTACCAGGAGAGGCTGATTTGGAGGGCAGAGTCACAGAATGATACGGGGTTGGAAGGGACCTCTGGAGATCATCTCCTCCAACCCCCTGCCAGAGCAGGTCCACGCAGAGCAGGTTGCACAGGAACGTGTCCAGGTGGGTTTGAATGTCTCCAGAGAAGGAGACTCCACCACCTCCCTGGGCAGCCTCTGCCAGGGCTCTGCCACCCTCACAGTGAAGAAGTTCCTCCTCATGTTTAGAGGCAACTTCTTACACTCAAGTTTGTGCCCATTGCCTCTTGTAGGGCAGCTCAACCCCGCAGAGATATGGCCCCCACACCATAAAAGCAGAACAAAGGTGTTTTTGAACGAAAGAGAGCAGGTGGGTGAAGGTGCTCCCTGCTCTCTGGCCACTGCTCGTGAGACTCGGGGCTCTGGTCCTCCCCATTCCTGGCACCCTCAGGAGCAGCCAAACCCTCACAGGCTGCTGACTCCCCCCACCAGCCTCCCACCGGTTCCTGTGCCCAAAGCACGGTGTGTCTCCTGACAACCCGCAGCCCGGGCAGGGGAGACTCAGCTCCTGCATGAAAAATGGGACCTGTAAGAGCGAGGGAAGAAGAGACGATACCCAAAATCACAGTGGCACTTACAAATCAATTTTTAATAACTCCCTCCAAAGTTTAGCTCAAACTCAATTTTTCTCCTCCAGAATTTGGTCATTATTTTGTAAAATATTTGTCTCCCTGCAGCGGCTGCCTAATTTAAAGGCAGCAATCTGATTTCTCCCCTCACTCCCCAAGCCTCAAAACCAGCTCTTCCAGTAATAGACTGGGTTCTAAATTAGATACAATAAAATACACTCAACTGCTCCGATCAGATACAGGAAAGTTTGGGGCCATCAGCCACGTCCTGAGGCTGAATGTTCGAGTTAAATGATGACTTCTGAGTTCAAGCTGGCCTCAAAACACAAGGAGTAGTACGGTGCTTAACAAAACAGGCAAATCTGAGGTGGAACCTGTGAGGAAGAGCTCGCTGACACCAGCAGCAGAGAGAGCATCACACCGTGCCCATCACTGCATCCCTCACTCACATCCACGGGCTGGGCTCCTCTGTTCCTTACTGGCAGCCCCAAGGGGCACGTAGGAGGCAGAGGGATGCTCTCTGCTGCCTGGTACCTGCAGCCTGGACCGAGGAGGAGGCACCACAACCTCCCTCTGCACAGGTAGGAACAGCCCAAGGGCAAGTGACTGCCCTGCGGCAGCCAGCTGGGCCACCAAAGAGTGACAGGGCCACCAAAGAGTGACAGGGCCACCAAAGAGTGACAGGGCCACCCCGTAACCACCCCCTCTCCCCTCTGTGAAGGACACACACCGCACGCTCCGGCCAGGCAGGGCTCTGCTATTTATTGAGCTCTAGCTTTGTATGTACAGCCATTTACAGCGCTCGGGTCGGTGACAGCGTGACAAGGGGACGTGTGTGTCACCCCTCTCCCCCAGGTCAGCCTTGGGTTGGGGGGTGACCCCAGGAGCTGCTCCCGGTCACAGCCTGAGCTTCTCAGGTCACCAAGGGAGGGCCCTGGGGGAGGTGAGACCTTCGACAGTGGAGCCCAGAGCGAAAAGCTCAAAATCCCACCCAGAGGTGGCCGAGGCAGAGTCAGACTCATCCCCAACCCTCTCACCCACCCGCCTGCTCTCAGCCCCAGCGGCAGCGGAGGAAAGGAGGCACGTGGAGTGACCCAGTGCTCCCACAGCAGCTGCTGGGGCTGCACCTCGAGGAAACAACTCCAGCCCCCTTCAGAAGAAAGGATCCTTTCCCCCCACTCCAGAGGTGAGATGGTCCGGGGAGAGCTCCCCCAGCACAGAGAGCAGCACCCCATGATGAGGTTTTACTCATCTGCCACTGGAGAAGCTGCCTCCTCCTACGTGTCCTGGCCTGTTCTCCAGCAGAGTGATCTTCTGGACCCCGCTCGCTCTCCCAAGCACCGTCCCTCTGACACGTAGACATTTCCTCACGCTCGCACGGCAGGAAAGCAAATAAGTGTCTGGCTCAGCTGATAAAAGGCAGACAATTCCGTGCTGAGGCAGAGGATACTCCGTTGGGAGAAGCTGGTGCTCCCAAGGAAAACACACTGTCTTCATGGGGCACCGTGACCAGTCGGCGGCCAAGGACACAGCTCTCAGTCTCCCATGCTCACGGCAGGTAAAGGTGAAACATTAACATAATTAACACACATTAGCATGAATAAGCCTTGCCTAAAAATGGTAGTAAATGAGCATGACATTCACATCACTCACACTACTCTAACCTCTGAGGCTAAGAGTGGGACTAGGCACTTCTTTTTTCAAAAACCTGTTTGCTAGGGGAAGAAAAAACAAAGTGGATGTGGGATGTAGAGTAACTTCTCTGCTTCGCTCCGCCGAGTCAGGACAGACCCTGAGGTCACTGCTGGGAGCTGGAAACGCACAGGCAGGGAGCAGGCATTCCTGAGTTGGCAGCAGACACAGCCTGGGAACAGGCTCGGCCGGAGCTGGGCACCTCTGAAACACCACCTCTGGAGCAGAAAGGTCTTGCTCGTGCCCCGGAGCATCCTCCTGGATGTCTTCCTTAGGAAGTTCTCAGCAGACTGTTGCTGCAAGTCGCTTGGTGAAGACAGGAGGGCAAGCTACAAAGGGAGGGAACGACTTCTCCAGCTGCATTTTAACTGCCTGCTACACACAAGGGAAAAACCAGGGACTTCGTAGTTCGTGAAGGTCACCAGGAACTTGCAAACATGGGCAAGGCAGAGGTTCCTGGGAGGAAGAGTAGGATTGTCGCAATGCAGTCTCTGGTGGGCAATAAGGGGAGCGGGGGGAGGGAGTCAGCCTGTCCTCTGCCCCGTGAAAGTGGAGTATCTAAAAATGTCCCTCAACCTTAGGAACAGCAGAGATGAGCTGGGCTACTGGAAGCAACGGTGACCCCGAGCAGAGCTGGTCTCCAGTTACAATGTGCTCTGTTTGATGACCATCAGACTGGACTCTGTAAGTCAACAGCCTTGGAGACAAAACTTCTTCTCCAGCAATCCGATGGCTTGGTTCAGGTGACACTTTCTGACATCAGGAGCCAGCAGTGAGCAGGGCCTGCCCCTTGGGGAAGCTGGTTCATATCCCAAAGCCATTCCCAAGGGGATGGCAGTGGATTTGACCTACATTGCAGGAAGGTTGGGTTGATCCAGGCCGATGGAAAAGACCAGCCCTTACCCATAGAGCAGGCGAGCGATCTCAACCCAGAACTGTCTCACACAGCTGGACTGGTTTTATTATTTCAGTTGTGAGCTCTCCCCAGCTCTGCTACAAAGGTTTCCAGCACATCTTCCCTGAGGCTGCGGAGGGAAACTCCCATCACTCCCTCACAGGAAGGGCCGCCCACCCCCACGGCACCTGACAGAATTGCCTCCTCCTCCTCCTCCTCACCACGCCGACCACCTCTCCTCAGCCCCAGCCCTGTCGAAACGCAAGCCTTTGGGATCAAACACACAGCAGCAAGGCTCTCCCCTAGAAGAAATGCAGTCCCTTCTGCAGGCAGAAGGCGAGGGGCTGCAGATCTGTGGTGTCCCTGCCCCTCGGGCCCGTCTCTGGTCAGCCCCGCGCAGCGGCTGCGGCCCGGCCTCAGGAGATGGTGGAGAACTCCTTCAGCAGCAGCTCCTGGCTCAGCGTGTTGAAAGCAAGGTTCTTCCTCACGTTGATGCTGATGGACCGGACCTGACAGAGACAAAACAAGACGGTTTAGCCCAGGGACTTTTCCTGGCTCCCCATGAGCACGGTGGCTTTGACACTGCTGACCTCCAGGTTCAGCACGAAGCTGTTTTCACGCTGTTACAGCCCCAGAAAACGCTGCAGCCAGCTCTCACTGAGACTCCATCTTCACAAGAAATCCATGAGGAGCCTGCAGGAGAGCTGGGGAGGGACTCTCTGTCAGGAAATGTAGTGACAGGACAGGAGGTAACGGTTTTAAATTGAAAGAGGGAAGATTTAGATTAGAGACCAGAAAGAAATTCTTTGCTGTGAGGGTGGTGAGAGCCTGGAAGAGGTTGCCCAGAGAAGCTGTGGCTGCCCCATCCCTGGAGGGGTTCAAGGCCAGGCTGGATGGGGCTTGGAGCAACCTGGTCTGGTGGGAGGTGTCCCTGCCCAGGGCAGGGGGTTGTAATTGGATGATCTTTAAGGTCCCTTCCAACTCTGACCATTCTGTGATTCTATGATTAGCTGCTTTCTGGAATAACAGGAATGTCTATAGTGATGTCCCCGCAAGCAGAGTAAATTCCAAATGAGACAAGGATGGGAGAAGATGCTCTGTTTGGATGCACGAGCTGTGATGTTTCCTGTTCTGGGGCAAAGTGATGGGGCAAGGGAGCACTTCCAGGATGCAGCTGGAAGACCATTTTCTACCAGTCCCCACTGGAGTCTGAACCAGCATTCTCCTGGATGCATGCAGTGCCACGGCCTCTGTCCTGCTCCAGAACCTGCAGAGCCCAAGGTATGGAGTCAAGGAAAGGATAGAGGCCACGCTACTGTGCTGTAATCACAAATTATCACCCCAGCTGGCACAAACCCACGGGTTCAGAGCCAGCTGTGTGTATCCTGTGCTGAGTGCCTTCCACTTGAAGTTGGCTCGCTGGCTGTCTCTGAAGAGGAGACACCTTTATCCCTTAACGATGCCTGGACTTGTGGTCACCCCCAGAGTCCGTGAGGAAGAGCTGGGCTTCCCTGAAGAGCAGAGCAGCTTCCCTTCCCTCCCCACGCCTGCGGATCCTTGGCCAAACACGCCGGCCCCAGCCTGGGCTCGGTCTCAGCCGCACTCGGCAACGAGAAAACAAAGTCAAACATCATCTGTGTCAGCGACTGTGCGGCAGCCACAGAAAGCAAAACTGACACAAGCTCATCCAAACAACGGGATTACAGCTCCCAGAGACTCGGAGCCTGTGATAATAAGGTTGTTGCTGACCTGGTTAGTGTTTTGCGCTTTTTAAAAGCTCTGGGGGATGAATTATATAGAAGGAGAACGAGGGATCCAGCACCAGGGGCTGGAAGAACAAGTCAGCAGTGTTCATACTGCTGAGGGTCCCACTTGCTGCCCTGGTGAGAAAAAAAAAATCAGCGGGGAAGGGCAGAAAGCTCCCAAGAAGGCAGAACGTGTAAGAGTGGGAAGCAAATCAAAACATGGAAGGTTATCAGGGAAAGCTGTGAAATGAAGCCCGGTGAGCCCCGCTGCACAGACCCTAACAACCCCAGTAAGCTCACAAAGACGTCCACACTTAAACACAGAATATTTCAGTTTTATGGCATCTGCAGGAACTACAAACTCCATCAGGATGCTCGGCAGGGACCTGGTGTGTCTGTGTTCCCTTGGAGCACCCCCTCTCCTCTCTTCTCTGGACCTCCTTTGACTTACTCCACACTGAACCAGCTTGGGATCACGTCTTGTAACACAGGTTACAGCCTACAATAAGCATCACTGCAACTGGGCTCCAGAACACTGGGTTACAGTGGGCTGTCTCCCTGCCAGGAGACAGGAGCCCCCCGACAGGACTCGGTCCCAGTCCTCCCCACCCCAGTGATCCAGTTGGTTCTGACCAGAAGGGAAGAACATGGCTAAACAGACACGGGGAGTCCTCACCGGGGAACGTGACTGCCTGCAGAGCGGGCCGGATGCCACACGTAGTGTAAGCCAGCGTCCTTATTCTGACTAGAAGCATTTCTGTGAGTCCCAGCAACAGAAAAAAACAAGCAGAAATGAGCTCCTGGTGTCAGGAGCTGCTGCCAGGGGCCAAGCACCAGCCATAGAAGATGCCCAACTTGTATACACGTCAAGGTCTCCAAGAAGGATGTGACAGCAGTCGCTGCAAGACCAGAAAGGGAGGCTGGAGTGGCACATGATGAGAACACAGAAACTGTAGCTATGGGATAGAGCACAAGAAATTAAGCCTGTTTAGTTTGCAAAGAGAAGGTTTAGGAGGAATAGAGCAAACACTCTCCAATATGTAAAATGAGGTCAGAAAGAGAACAGTGAGTAATATTTCTCTGGCTCCCCAGGGATGGGGCAAGAAATACTCAGCTTAATTTAAGACGAAGATTTACACTGGAAAAGAGAAAATACTTTCAGACCTATGGGTTGTGAAGCAGTGGAGCAGAACACCTGGGGCTAGTGTGGAGCTCTTTTCACTTAAAGACAGCTTCAGGGTTCAAGAGGAGCTTAGACACAAATTTTGGTCAAGAGTGGTTTAGATGGACTTAGATCTGCTTTACCACCAGTTGGGGAAAGGAGCAGGCGTGATAACAACGCACAAGGTGACACTAATGTTTCTACATATCCCTGCCCAACATTTCCTCTGCTGTGAGAAAGCAAGCAGCTCCGAGCCAACCAGCTTAAAAGGTAAGAATAGCTCAAATTAGAATGAAATCAAGTTATCTCCAGCACCAGGGCTCAGCACAGGGAGCCAGAGCTCGGCTCCCTTTTGGGGCTGGAAGAGCAGACAGTGACACAGGGAGGTGTCAGCCTGTAACGAGGATAAACTTCAGAAGCTTCGAGCAGCCTGGCCAAGCTGCTCCATCCACAAGGCTACAGCCCAGGAGATGACTCCTAGCTCGTGGTGCAATGGGCAAGCCCAGCCTGGAAGCTGCCAGAACTCTCCAGAGTGGCTCACACAAAGGGCCAAAACCAGCCTCAGAAAGTAAGCTCAGAGCTCTAACGTTCATCCTGCAAGGAAACCAGAGCAGAGCACGTGTCCTCTCTCGCTTCCATATGGAGCGTGCTGGAGGACACTAGGGCCAGAAGAGCTTTTAAATTGTTTCCTCCCTGTTTTGGATCACATTTAAGCCACAGCTTGTGAAGAAACAGAAAATGCAAGAAATGCTGACATCATCTGGAGAACAATGAGCAAATAAAGAATGGATGAAGCAGTGGCATTAACTACATGACACAGAATTAGAACTGAATAATGTTTCCCTCATTACAGCTGGACGAGTGCAAGGCTGCACAGACACTCCTACTTTGCAGCAAGCCCCACCAATTAAACCTGTTTCCAATCAACAAGCGGCTCTTAAGAAATCTGTACAATGGGAGGAAGGTTTACACTGACTACTACATCTAATTAAAAGTCAAATTAGTGTAATTTCCCCTGCAGAAATCAATCCCTAATCAGACTATTTTGAGACTCTGCTGAAACCTATCCAACTGCAAAGACAGTGAATGTTTTGGAAAGATGCTGAATCTCTTTCCACCCATTCCTCCGGCTGCAACGTGAGGGTTCAAAAGCTCACATCCAAACCATTCCTTCCATCAAAGCAGCACAGACCTCAAATGACATCCCTGAGGATTCAAAGGAAAAGAAAAAAATGTGTTATAAAACTTCCTAACTTCCTTCCTCTAGCCCCTCAAAGGCAGCACAACAGGCCAGAAAACCCAATTGATAGAACACTCTGCACATCACCTTCCAACCACAACGTGGCTGCAGTTCCGAAGGCCTTTGAAAGCTTCTTTGAAAAGGGAATGGGAGAAGAAAGCAGGTTTTTCTTTGGGATTAGCAAGGAAGAGCAGCACCGAGGCAAAGCCAGAGGAGTGAAGCAGTGCATTAGCAAAGCACGTCAAAGGAGCGAGAACAAGATTTCTGAACATAAAGGAGCCAAGAGAATGGCTTGGGGAAGTTTCTGCTCCCCCACTTAATGGGAGCACGGAGAGATGAAAAGGCAGCCAGAAAGGGAAATGGCTCCCGCGTGTCATTCCCCACCAAGAAGGATTTGCTTTAATGCAATCACACAGAAAGAGAGAAGAAAAGCAGGCAGAATCTGGACAGAATTATTTGGAAGCAGATCCTGTTCAGGAAGACCTGATGGGACCAGCGTGAGCTTGGAAACCATACTGGAAACCTGTAGTTCACCATCAGCCCTGCTCCTTTGGCAGAGCCCAGGAAGGAAATTGCAGCAACTTCACTCTGCCCCCTCCACGAAATCCGTCAGCCCTCGGCACCGAAACACAACGTGCTGGGCAGGGGGAGATCATCCAACGTCAGACCAGCAACGTGGTGAGAGCCTGGAAGAGGTTGCCCAGGGAAGCTGTGGCTGCCCCATCCCTGGAGGGGTTCAAGGCCAGGCTGGATGGGGCTTGGAGCAACCTGGTCTGGTGGGAGGTGTCCCTGCCCAGGGCAGGGGGTTGGAATTGGATGATCTTTAAGGTCCCTTCCAACTCTAAATCATGATTCAGAGGGCTGGAGCACCTTTCCTATGAAGACAGGCTGAGAGAGCTGGGGTTATTCAGCCTGGAGAAGAGAAGATTCTGGGGAGACCTCAGAGCAGCCTTCCAGTACCTAAAGTGGGCCTACAGGAGAGCTGGGGAGGGACTCTTTGTCAGGAAGTGCAGTGACAGGACAAGGGGTAACGGTTTTAAATTGGAAGAGGGGAGATTTAGATGAGATACCAGAAAGAAATTCTTTCTTGTGAGGGTGGTGAGAGCCTGGCCCAGGTTGCCCAGAGAAGCTGTGGCTGCCCCATCCCTGGAGGGGTTCAAGGCCAGGCTGGATGGGGCTTGGAGCAACCTGGTGTGGTGGGAGGTGTCCCTGCCCAGGGCAGGGGGTTGGGACTCGATGATCTTTGAGGTCCCTTCCAACCCAAACCATTCTATGATTCTATGAAGACTCAGAAGCCTCACAAAAAGGAAGCCAAGTACCTGCTTTGAAGAGGATACGGGGAGGACAGGACAGGACTAAGGGCCTTTTTGAGGAGTTGTTGGAACAATTAATAAAGCCATCAGTCACCGTGCACCTGGAGGAAAAAAGGCTGGTGGAGGCCGGGGGCTGGCGGGGTTTGCTGAAGACAAATCATCACGCATCAGGTTGATTTCCCGCTGTGCTGAGGGAACAGCTTAATGGAATGCAGGGGATTTTCTGTAGCTGTGAGTAAAGAACATTTAATAGGGCCCCAATTCTCAGGGCATCTAGAGAAATGTGGATTAAACAGATTCACAACTGGGTCAAATCAGCACATTCAGACAGTAATTATTCAGGCTTTCATATGCTCTTGAGGAGAAGGTCCCAGGGGTACCTGGACGGGCAATTTTCAGAAGGGAGTTGAGAAGGGGCTGGTTATGCTAAACAGATTCTTAAATGATACAAAACTGGGATTTAAAAACAAACCAAACCAAAACAGGCTAGGAAGAAAGTCATTTTAGCCGAAGCAATTTGTAGCTGTAATGATCTTAGGACTGAGAATGTCATTTTAATCAATTGGCATGATCAGCCCGAGCTCCTGCCAGGCCATGTGGAAAGTGGGGCAGGCAGGAAGGAGAGCAGCCACGTGGCTGAGATGCTGGGGAAGGAGATGCTGGCCGAGGAGGGCAGGAGCCCTTGGGACAGAGCAGATGACAACACAAACATGAACGTGTCTCATTCCCAGGTAACAGGAGAAGCCTGTGGCACAGGAAGGCTATGGTCAAATTTCTTTGCATGTGCTCCAGATACGGTATCAAACAGCAGGCGTGAGAGACAAAAACAGGCACAAAAGAGCACAGAAAAATGGCATGAAAATAATTGCAAGCGGTTTTGCCCATCCCCTACCCCATGGCAGTGCTGGAATGACCCAAAAAAACATTAAAAAGCATTCTGCACAAGGAAGCAAGACCAACACAGGCGTGCTTGCAGTAGTAGACAGAGGGAGGCATAACACTCCCAAACTCCTGCAGACTCGTGACGGAGTGGGCAGGCATCAATTTACTCATCAATCAGCCAGGACAGAGCTGGGAGGGAGAATCAGCTCTCAGACTGGTGGAGAAAGAAAGCTGCCAGAGTTAGAAATCTCCCCCTTCGCTGAAGCTGTAATGATTCAAAAGCGAGGAAAAACAGGCTCCCCTCAGACACCAGCCACTACGAAAACATCGCCTCTCCTGCCACGCAGCCATCCAACATGAAAATGTTGTTTCTCTGGAGTGGGGTGAACAAATTGCCTTGCTGAAGAATATAACTATCAACCCAAATTATTTGGCCTCATGTTTTGTCTTCACTATATTATTTTTCTAGTCTTTAGTAGTATATTATAGTAGTATATGTAGTATATTATATTTTTGTAGCCTTCTCCTCCGGCAGCAGGAGACACTTCTAGGGAATGCCTCAGCTTTCTTTGCCTGGGAACCCCATTTTGTAAGTGATGGAGGGAAACAGAGCAAACACACGTTTCACCAGCATCAGGTAACTCTGCACAGTCCCACACTTTGTGGTCCCCTTAACAACAGCAAAAAGGCTAAGGGGTTCTGCGTGACAAACCCCAGGTGAGAGCAGTCAGATTTACCACCACAAAGCCCAGCGGATCCCCGTGGCAGAAGGGACAGGGAGTGACAGCCCGGTTGCTGGCCTGAGCAGCCTGGTGGTTCCTCCCCAACCACGTACCCATGTACTGCAGGGCAGGCAGCTTCAGGGGTGTCGAGATGTGCGGTGTCTGTTCTAGTTGTGTCTGTGTGGTTGGGGTTCTAACTGACAAGCAGCTGAATAGGAGCCGGCAGTGTGCCCAGGTGGCCAAGAAAGCCAACAGCATCCTGGCTTGGATTAGAAATAGTGTGACCAGCAGAAGCAGGGAGGTGATTGTGCCCCTGTACTCAGCACTGGGGAGGCCACACCTCGAGTGTTGTGTCCAGTTCTGGGCACCTCAATACAGGAGAGATCTGGAGGTGCTGGAGCGAGTGCAGAGGAGGGCAACGAAGCTGGTGAGGGGGCTGGAAAACAAATCGTATGAGGAGCAGCTGAGGGAGTTGGGACTGTTTAGTGTGAGGAAGAGGAGGCTGAGGGGAGACCTCATCACTCTCTACAACTACGTGAAAGGACACTGTAGAGAGGTTGGTGCTGGTCTCTTCTCACAGGTAATTAGTGACAGAACAAGAGGGAACGGCTTCAAGCTCCAACAGGGGAGGTTTAGATTGAACATTAGGAAGGAATTTTTCACAGAAAGAGTGGTCGGGCATTGGAACAGGCTGCCCAGGGAGGTGGTTGAGTCACCATCCCTGGATGTGTTTAGGGGACGTTCAGATGGGGTACTGAGGGATATGGTGTAGGGGAGGACTTTGTAGAGTAGGGGAGATGGTTGGACTCGATGATCCCAAGGGTCTCTTCCAACCTGAATGATTCTGTGATTCTATGTTCAGACCCGATTCCTGCCCCATCTTTGGGGGCAGCCCAACGGAGTAACAGAGCTGCTCCCAAGAGCAATACCCCAAATCCCGTTGCCCCTGCCATAAGAGAAGGCTTTGGAAAAGGGTTGTTGGTTCTGCAGAGCCCAGGCAGCTTACCAGCTCCTTGAAGAAGGCAGCCTCTTTATGCTGCTCCGAGTAGCGCTCGTACTGGTCCAGTCCGTCCTGCAGCTTCAGGGTCAGCGTGTCGTAGTTGGACCGTACCACCTCCAAAACCTGCCAGAGAGAGCCAGACACAGCAGAGGAGTCAGCATCCACAGATGCCTCGGCACAGGAGGAGCAAAGCTGAGAGAGATGGCAGCTCTGGCACCTGTTTTTGCAACATACATGGCTTTACCAGCCAATATTTGGCTCGTGACTAACAACACGGGGGTAGGCACTGAAGTCTTCCTAATGCCAGTAAGGAACAGCCCTCAAATTTACAGAATTCCCCCCGCATGAGAACAGTGGATGAGCTGCATCCATGACAGCAGCAGCTTTCAAATACTACTGTGTCACCAGGAGAAGCAGACATCTCATTAAATTAAGCAGCTAATTACCACGTGTACACCCAAATGTAACATTGCAGGCGCTACACAAACACAGGTTTGCCTGACTCCCTGGCCCTTCCAGCACTATAGTTTGCTAGTTTTTCCCTCCTGGTCACTAACCACCATCCACAATCTGCTCAACCCCAGCTTCTAGAGCTGCTCAGGTCAGCTACCCGAGCAGTACCCTGCTCTCTGGATAGGAACAAGCTTCTGACAGGCACTAAGAGAAGACCAACCCTGGTACAGACTCTGGTTTTAGAAACAGATGGAGACACGAATCCAGGTCTTCCTGCCCAGGAGATGTTTTATTACCTGCCTTCACTGCAACCAAAGCACTCTGGGTTATATTACTGCCTTACTCTGGCTCCCAGCACCGGGCTACACTTGCAAATCCATAGTTACACATCTCTGTCCTATTGAACTATTCATTTTCCTGACTAGGGAACACCAAGAGGGACTCCCACAATGGTGTTTAGCTTCAAAGCATTGCATGGACAAATGCATTCCTCAAAGCATTTGTTAGATGGCAAGTAACGATAATCTTCCTATCAGGAGCCATACAGCTCAGCACTCCTGGGCAAAACACGTGCTTGAAACAATTCTCTTAAACACATGGACTTCTTAGGCTGTTACCGTTTGATCTGAGAGCTAAACAGAATACCAGCATCTGAGGTTTGCCTTACAGTAACCTCTGCTCAGGAAAAGCCTCAGCCAGGAGGACTACAGAGGATAAGGTGCAAAGGAAGAGGACTCTGCCCCAAGGCATCAAAAGTCAGAAAAGATCCTAAGAAAAGCACTGCAGAGGATTTGAGACAACAGTGACCAGAACAATAAATAAGGAACCTTTCAACTTCTCCTCTTGTCCTCCCAACAATGTAAACACTCCCTCAAGTGCCCTCTAAGGCAGCTGGCAGCTCCTGCCCTTTACAGGGCTGAATCGTGTTCTTACACCCTTTACTCTAGGAAACCTAGACCTGCTTAGGGTGCCTTCAAAAGCTGTTTCCCCCCAGATTTAGCAGGTGGCAGTGGCACACAGATACACAATCAGGCAAAGGCTTAGAAGCAGGCTAGAGCCTGAAGTGGCAGAAGCCACAGGGCATCATCCAAATGAGGACTAGGGGTAAAAAAGGGTCCCAGAAGTGGTTCCCAGGTGAGATGGTCACACAGCAGAGCCCCTTTGTATCCCCACTGCACTCCAGCATTGCAGAGGCGAGCCAGGGGTAGGAATCAGCATTTTGCAGTGTTATTTAAGAACAGCCTGCCAGCGTCCTGCTGCTGCAAGAGCAGGCAGCCTCCTCTCCAGGACTCGTTTCCTTAATGCTGTTTGTCAGCTCCACTGGCAGGGAGGAAGAACCCCCTGCGATGACAGCCACCTCCAAATTCCATCTGGCCTCCTTGTTTCTGTGTGCAGATGCTGTGAGAAGGATGGTGGAGCCAGGAGCAGCAATGAAAGCTGCCCGGGTACAGGAATGATTTCCTCTGGGATGCAACTATCCGCTAGGGATGGAGAGTAATAGTATAATGCACCTCCTTCTGAGCTAGATTCTAGCAGCTTGCATGAATCAGAGGGCTATCCTCCTGTCAATCTGGGGAAGCCAAATTGACCAAGATTAATTAGATGCAGAGGAGAAATCTTGTTTGAAAGGTGAGGAGCAGAACAAGCTGCTCTGGCAGTAACTCAGAGTGGAAGCTTTTTACCCAGAGCTACCCCACTCCCCAGGAACCTTCCCTTGGGCTCCTCTTCACCCCCCTGTGCCCCCATACACACAGCCATGTGTGGTGTCATACAGGTGTGCCCAAACAATGGATGTACAGCTTCTCCATGAAGAATCAGGATTCCTCATTGCTAGCTCCAAGTAGAGATCTCTTAGGACACTCAACAGAAGCATCACCCTCAAGCCATGGTGCAGAGCAGTAAACTCTGAGTGCAGCAGTGAGCTCTGTGAGCAGTATCCTTTAAATCAGCCCTCCTGTGTCACCTCTGAAAGACAGCTAAGAACTCAGTCTGATACTCCAGGAGGAGGACAGGGAAGGAATAAGAGCCCCCAAAGTCTCTACTGTGTTACCCACGACTTACTGTAATCTCTGCAGTGAACTTGAGATCAGCTTATCCCTTTAGCTATGTATTTTCATTGGCTTCCACTCCTTATCTCCTTTAATTATGAAATAGAACTTAAAAAGAAAGGGTAAGTTAAAAATAAACAGCAGCTTCTCACTGCCTGATAATTTCCCTTTCTTGCTGCTGCTGAGAAAAAAATGCTACGTGGGATCTGAGATAAACCCACTCACAGATCATTTCACTTCATATCTTATAATGGATGGGAACTGTTACCGAGATTAGGACCTGCCATCCTTGAGACAATTTCATCTGCTCTTTAAGATGCAGCTGCTAGACAGAGGAGAGGTTAAAGAGCAGCAGGAGGTATTAAAAGCATCTAATATGAAGGTTTGAAAGGCATCAGCTTTCTACAGAGATGACAAAACTCGCATCCTCTGTGTAAGAGAAGATTGTGTGTCAGCATCCCTCGCCCTTCTCACACACTGCTTTGACTTTTGCTCGGGAAAACTACTGCAGGAAGAACACCCTTCTGCGTGAAACGCATGAGATCTTCATCTGTACCCTTCTGTCAGGTACAAAAGAACTAGAGGAATTTAGTTCTGAGAATAAAGCATTTCTCCTTCAAGGTGTTGTCCAACCCGTTCTTCCTAGAATTCGAAGATGGTGAAGTATGAATAACTTAAAGGAAGGGACTTTTAGCTGGACTCTCCCACACAGATGTTAAATAGTCATTCAGTTTTTTAAAATGTCACAAGCAGGTGGAAGAACACCACCTCTAGTGTCTGGCAAGGAGAGAGGAAAATGGACTGTGGATGATCTCCAAGAAGCTTGATGTGACACTCCTTAGACTGGAAGAGAAACATGCAGGGCAAACTATTGTGTTTTTTAAAAAAAAAAGCTTTACTGGATCTTTACAGCCAAAAAAAAGTGAAGAGGAGTCACAATCTAAATCTCTTTTTGTCGGTTACCTCAGGGGGATCAGTCTTAAAAAAGCAGTATGACAGAAGTAAGCAACTCAGACATGGTCAATCCAAGAAAAGCGAAGGCTGCTGGATCCTTTCCCGCAGTTACCTGCATCGGCCATCGAGGCCACATTCCCTTATTTACGGCACTGCAACAAACCAGGAGTCAGTGGAGCTGCACCACTGTAATTTAAAGACAATTTGCCATCAAATTAACCCCCTGCCCCACCGTTCCCTCACTGACTGCTTTCCAGAAGTTCCAGAGAAACGTCAGCAATTCAGGTCCCTGTGTACGTGTCCCCCAAACCAACCCTGCAGGAGCTGCTCTGAACAGCAAGTGCTTTCTGTGACACTCAGATCTCAGCTTCCTCCTGCAGCTACAACTGTCCATGTCCCGTAGCTCTCCTTCCCCAGTAACACTGACCACCTACTACTCTGCTCTGGTGAGACCCCACCTGGAGTGCTGTGTCCAGCTCTGGAGTCCTCAGCACAGGAAGGACATGGACCTGTTGGAATGGGTCCAGCAAAGGGCCATGGAAATGATGAGAGGGCTGGAGCCCCCTCTGCTGTGAAGACAGGCTGAGAGAGCTGGGGGTGTTCAGCCTGGAGAAGAGAAGGCTCCAGGGAGACCTTACAGTGGCCTTCCAGTACCTGAAGGGGCTACAGGAGAGATGGGGAGGGACTCTCGGTCAGGGAGGGGAGTGACAGGACAAGGGGGAATGGTTTTAAATTGAAGAGGGGAGATTTAGATGAGATCCCAGAAAGAAATTCTTTGCTGTGAGGGTGGTGAGACCCTGGAAGAGGTTGCCCAGAGAAGCTGTGGCTGCCCCATCCCTGGAGGGGTTCAAGGCCAGGCTGGATGGGGCTTGGAACAACCTGGTCTGGTGGGAGGTGTCCCTGCCCAGGGCAGGGGGTTGGAGCTTGATGATCTTGAAGGTCCCTTCCAACTCTGACCATTCTATGACTCTATGATTCTAACCTGTGAGTAGAGGAAACCCTCTGGGTAACACAGCTGGGGGGCTGGCTTCCAAAGGAGGGGCTGATGTGGGGCTCACCTCTCATCCCACCCATGCCATGCCACACTGCTGCACCCAGAGGAACAAAATTATTTCAGAGTTTTTGGCTCCTTATTTTGCTGCATCCACCATCTTATTGCTCCCTTGCAAACCCACTGGACAACCTCTGAAGGGTCGGTGGACTCTCATGGACACAAGCTCTGAAACCAGTTCCTCCAGAACCAATCGCCCCTGCCCTAAAATTTTCCAGACTGAAACCAGACCGTGCTCTGCTGCACCACTCTCGACACACAGGCTCCTTCCTTTCTGCACCGGAGCCGTTCCCTCTGACTCATCCTCAACAGGAGCCGAATTGTTGCACTCCCCGAGGAGAGACCGGACCTTCTGGAAGAGCCTGCCCTGGAGAAACAAGGGGATCACACGCAAGCAGTCCCTGACCCCCATCCTGTCCAGGAGAACACAGCCACCGTTAGCAGCAAAGCCAGAGAGGGAACTTTGATTGCACAAGCAATGAAATCTAACGGGCAGGATGCAGAAGTAGGGCCCATCCATCTGGCAGGCACGCTCCGCTTCATCGCCGAGTAACTTTTTAACCTGCAGAATCCTTCATCATCTGCAGCTGCAGCTTCTGCCTTACTGCAACATAAAA